AAAAAAAAAAACTCTGCAAGGCAAAATTGGATTTACGTATTACTTTATTCTGCAAACACAGCACATGCCAGAGGCCAATCATCTCAGTCTTTGCTCTGTAAAACTAAGGACTGAACTGACCATTTCCAGATCCGTCTGACCGTTTTGAGTAACAGCAGTCAGGTTTTCCTGTGTCGGTCACAATAAGGTCCATGTCTCAGCAGTTTGCAGTGAGCGCGTATTCCTTCTTCGCGGCTGCGTGGGTCATCCATAGATCTTCAGGGTTTGGAGCAACTCAGGTTCAAGCCTGTTCCATGTGACTTTCATTCTGGCTAAGGGATGGGGGAGTGCAAAAGGCCAATCCATACCACAAAAGCACATTTAAAGCCTCTGCCGGAAGGTGGTATGTGTCACATCTGATGACATTCAACTGGTGAAAACAAATCTCGCGGCCTAAGCAGATACAATGGAGCAAAGAAATATATATCACCTATGGGGAGGCACGGCAAGTCACTGCTAACTGGGGGGGTGGGGGTGCGTCACCCTTTTACAGAGGGAGTGGGGGCACTGGGAACAGTAAGGTGCCACAATTCCTTTGACATAATTTTTGATCTATCCGCTTTTGGTTTGTCCCTCTGTGTACGGTCAGGATTCCCCTGTTCCAAACAGGTGCAAGAATCAGCTTTACCTTCAGCCTTACTTACTTCAGTGTTGGATACCACCAGGACAATAGCTGACACCATCCCTTCATCTCTCAAGCCATCCACCATGATGGGCAGGACTCAGGTGTTACCTAAGGGCCTTCCCAACTCAGAGTGTCCCCTCCCCTGAAATACCATTGAACTTCTTGTCTGCATTCTTTACTTTGACTCTTCCCTTTTAAAAAATGTTTTTACTAGTGCATTACAGTTAGACATAATATTGGGGTCTATTTTGACATAATCATGCGTGCACAGAATATAGTTTGCTCCACTTCAGTTCCCAGTACTTCCTCTCTCCCTCCCTTCCTCCTCCTTCCTGTTCCCCTTTCTCTACTCAACTGGTCTTCCTTCTGTTTATTTATAGCTTTTTTTAATTGGTGCTTTATAGATATACCCAAAGGTGAAACTCACTGTGGCATATTCCTAGATGGACACAGCATAATTTGGCCAATTTCATTCTGTGGCTCCTCCCTTTTCCCATCCCTCCTCTGTTGCCCCTCTATCCCCTTCCTGATCTTCTTGTATTTCTATATGATCCCCAACCCCATTTTCTACCTTTTTTTTTTGTTCTAACTGCCACATGTGAGAGAAAACATTGATCCTTGACTTCCTGAGACTGCTATCATGATATTCTCCAGTCCTATCCATTAACTAGCAAATACCATAATTTCATTCCTTTTTATGGCTGAGTAAAATTCCATTGTGTGCATATACCACATTTTCTTTATCCATTTGTTTGTTGACAGGCATCTGGATGGGTTTCATAGCTTGGCTATTGTGAACTGTGCTGCTATAAACAATGGTATGCGCATATCGCTACAGTATGCTGATTTGAGTTCTTTTGGACAAATACTAAGGAGTAGAATAGCTGGATCATACGATGGTGTCATTCCTATTCTTTTGAGGAATCTCCATGCTGCTTTCCAAAGTAATTGTACCAATTTGCAGGACCACCAACCATGTATGAATATACCATTTTCCCCACATCCTCACCAGCATTTCCAATTATAATAGGAAATATATATATATACATGATAGTAGTGATGCAGCCACATCATTGTTTATAGCAGTTCAATTCACAATAGCTAAGCTTTTTCAGTCTAGGTGCCCTTCAACAGCTATATGAATAAACGTGGTATATTTACACAGTGGAATATTACTCAGCCTATTATTGATATTCTTGATAATTGCCATTCTAACTGGAATAAGATGAAATCTCAATATGGTTTTAATCTGCGTTTTCCTAGTTACCAGGGATGTTGAACATATTTTCATATATTTGCTGGCCATTTGTGTTTCTTCTTTTGAGAAATGTCTGTTTAGTTCTTTTGCCCATTCATTGATTGGGTTATTTGGGGTTTTTTAATTCTCTCTGTATAACTCTTTAATATGTCTTCTCCTTCACTTTATTTTACAGTCCCTTTAAAAGATAGTTCTAAGTACACATTTTTGAGTTGCCAATTACTTTCTCTCAGAACACTGATTACTGGTCTCTTTGTTACAGCTGCCATTGATGTTGTTGATTAATGGACTAGCATTCTAATTTTTCTGTTCCAGGAGCTGGTATTTTTAAAGCTATCGCCGTATCTTTGATGTTATGCAATTTCAAAACCGAATCTTCAGATCTTTTTATTTGTCCTGGCTGGTAGAAGTTGTTCTTCCTATATTAATAAATTCTTACATTTCATGAAATCGAGACAATTACTAGTCATTATCTCCTTAGATAATTTGTCTTCTTCATGATCATTATTCTTTTTGTTGGGGACTTGAATTAGCTGTATGTTGAAACTTTTCATGTTTTCCCTCGGATCTCTTAACTTTCTTATATTTTCCATTCCCATCTGTTTTTCTCAATTCTTGTCTTAATGGTTGTTTAACCTATTCATTGAGTTTTTAGAAATACATTGTTACTTTCTAAAACTGTCTTTGGTTTTAGAAAAGACAGTTTCTTTCTTTTTGATGATTTCTTGTTTCTTACTGTTTTTGTAAGAAACAGTAAGAAATTATGCTTTTTTTTTTTCCTTTGGACATTTTACAATCCATAAGTGAGCATTCCAATATTTGAAAAGTGATTGGGCTCTAAATCAATTACTTTTGTTTCACTGAGTCTTGCCGGTGGGTATGATCTTTGATAATGAGCTAATAATTGGTTGATGTTAAGTACTCTGGGATCTAAATGGAGGGTGTGTTCCTCC